CTCGCCCTACTGTATCGCGGCATAGAACTGGTTGTGGGAGACGTTTGAGTAATTCGTCGAACTTGGCGTCCAACTTGGTGTCAATTGTCTTCTCAATGTCATCCATCCTCTCCAATGCCTTTCCAAAGCTGGCCATCACGTCTTCCACCTGTTGACCCAACATTTGATGAAACTTATCATGAAGCTCCTTGTTTGTCATGTTCTCCCAGTCAATCTCGTCGGCTTGTGTTCCTGCCATAGTTAGCAGCAATAGAAACAGACAAGAATATGATCCTACAGACTACTGGAATATGGTGGTGGAGTGTCACAAATCCGTCAAGCGAATCTCAAATTCTTACCAGTTCTTACCCAGCAGCGGGTGGTGATCGGCAACCGTTGTAGTCAAAACTCTCAAAGCTTGGATAGAGCGATTACTAGGGAGATTCAAACGCACGACGTAGATGTATGTGGAGCTGGGAAGGCTTATAATATGGTAGCAAAAAGGATTAGCAATAATCAATTCAGAGATGCAAAGTTGAATAAACGCTCAACGACGGTATTGTGCTGGTCCTAGGCTAGACCGTGCTAGAGACGCGAGCCTAGAACACTAACAAAATCACAGCGCTGCGCGTAAACAAGGGAAAAGCACACTCTGGAATTTTTTCTCTTTTTTTTGCTCCTTTTTTTGCGAAAAATCACTATAATGGCAAGTATCTCAAAACTCTTCCCAGGTCAAACTGACAGGACGGGCACGAAATTTTTTTGACAATTTTTTTTCAGAAATCAGGGCAACGACGACGAAAAAGTGCGACAAAAAATCACTATGATGGCGAGTGTCTCAAAACACTCCCTGGGACCTAAAAAAGGATAAGGAGAAAAATATTTTCGGTCGCCGAAATTTTGGCCTAAAAACTGCCCGGGGGTCTCCAGACTTTTTTTTTGAAACCTACTCAGGCAAGGAAACACGAATCGGAAACTAGATGGATCTCGAAAACAAACCGAATATGAAAAGAACTCGGATTGGTGGTGGAAATATGGTGGTAGGATATGGCAGCGGTGGTGGTATATGGATATGAATTGGTGGTGGTATATGGATACGGATCGATGGTGGTATATGGATACGGATCGGTGGTGGTATATGGATACGGATTCAGAGCGGTGGCGGATAAGCGGTGGTGGTAGATGGCAGGGGCAATGATGATGGTGCGGTGGCGGCGTGACAACTTATGACCAGAACTCGAAACTCTAAAAGACTAGACTCTAAGACTAGCAACTAGACACGACGATGCAACCGCAAATTCAACAACGCAAATACAAAAAAGATTATGCAATGGCTTAGACTGGTTCGAATATGATGAACTAACCCTATTTTTTTGTGGCTTTTTCGTGGACTATAGGTATGAAGAACAGACTCGATCTAAACTACGAAAAACTGTAAAATCTCACCGAGCAACCTGGAAATCTGATACCACTTGATAGAGGCAAAGGTGTCTCATCTTTCGATGAGATGATGGATATCGCTTTGGTGGAAGTCGACTTTGACGATCCGACTACGAGCGTGCGAGGACGTCGCCTCTTAGCAATATCTAAACCAACTCCGAGAGGTTATTGACCACGCTGGAGCACGATCAACCTGACCACGAGGGTCTGTTTCCTGCGAGCAAACGAAGAACAAGCAAGAAACTGAGATTGCAATCTGGATATTGCGAATATAAGATGAAAGCTTTATTGATCAAGGTGGGGTTCTGTGACGCCTTTGTCTGGTCGTTGAACACAAACAAAGTACGCGAAGTTGCAGCTATGGCGAACTTTAATCTAAACAAAACTCAAAGTCTAAACGGTGCCCTAAGGGCTGTATATATGGAGGAAGAGGGGGGAATTTTGTGGCCCTTAGTGGAGGGGTCCGAAACCAACCCTATCTCTTGTTTCCCCACACATACGGACTCTAAAAATAGCCTATACTTATGTATTTCGAAATTACATGGGTCTGGCCCAATAAAAAGGTGACGCATCATCTAGAATAGCTTCTGGAAGAAATTTATAAAGTGGCATCTTGTATATTTCATCCAAGGCTTCATGCACTCATTATGGTGGCTTCAAAGTCCTGAAATCATCACTTGTAACTCCGTTCTTGTTCCCCTTGCGCATGCCATCATCTTCGTGCTTGGTCTTGCTCCAATATTCATCCTTCTCCAAGCTAGGCCCTTCATTTGTAAGCAAAACAAATGTATCCCATTTAGGCAGCATCATATTCTCATGAGCATTAGAATCATTACCAAAAACGAAAGTACCTGGTAATTTAATTGGCCTGCACGAGCTCTAGTAATTGGTCCAGTATGTATAGCAGCAGGGGTTGTGAGTGTAACAATGGTATTGATGTCCTCATCAGATTGGGTCGAAAGGAGATCCCGAAGTCGAAGCTTCAGGGTTTTCGGGCGCCTCGGGCAAGGCTGAGAAGCCTGTGAAGATCATATCACCCCAAGTGTCAGCGATGTATTCTAGGTTACCGAACCTGATCTGGTGCTCAGGGGCGAAGCTGTCGACCTGGTCGAGATGACCAGCCGAGTTAGCATGCAGAACGATGCTGCCAAATGTGAAAAGCTACCCGGGGACAAAGATGTCCCCGGTGTTGATGCCATCTCCGATGATCAGGCGAGCCATCGATCCTTCGGCGATCTCACAACGGAACTCTCAATGAAAGCACCAGTGTCAGTGTCAAAACCGGCGGATCTCGGGTAGGGGGTCCCGAACTGTGGATCTTGAATCAATGGGTAACAAGGGACGAAGGAGACGATGTTTACCCAGGTTCGGCCCACTCAAAGAGGTAAAACCCTACGTCCTGCTTGATTATATTGAAGTGTATAGGATGATTACAGAGTCGATCTACCACGAGATCAGATGAACTAAAACCTAGGTGAGTATGATGATGGTTCTTCTTCTAGCCTCTACAGACTAAACCCTCCGGTTTATATAGGCACCAGGGGTCCTAGGGTAACACAGGGTCGGTTACAATGAGAAGATAAACATGCAAATTCTCCTATCCTGCCTTGAAGGACACACCAAGGCATCAAAGATTCCCTGCCCGGATACGGAGTCGTCTCATAGCACGACCTTCTAGCAGCAGTAGTGCGGCCCCCCTGTCCGGCCCATAAGAGATAGACCGGCAGCCCAAGGACCCCCTAGTTCAGGACTCCCTCAGTCGCCGCCCAATCCAAAGAATTTGGGGTGTTCACCCGGGCAAGGTGGAAGAAGGGAGTGGGGAGATGTACCTCAACATCGCCTTCAAGGAGGGATCCAACGCCCGCAGTACCGCCGATGTCGTGGCCGCCGATGACGACCAAGGGTTTCCCCTGGACAGAGTTCCCAGTCCAACTCCCACCGCGCTAATCGCCAGATCCCACGGAGAGGAGCTTGCCGAAGATCGGACCAGTCGGTGCAATGGGCAGCAAGCATCAGGTGGCCTTCTTTCGATCTGGCCATGGGGAAGAACGGAGTATCCCCCGCGCTGCGATCACCGCCTCTGTGCCCTCACTGCCAACGCAGCCAAGGGACACAACCAGTCGTTTGGTGGGCGCCTCCTGTCGCAAGAAGGACGCCGCCCTCACCGTCGAGGCCGCCGCCTTAGAGCCTGACCCTTCATCACCAGGGGTAGATCCTCGCCGCCCCCTTCACCAGCGGCTGCACGGCGAATCGGTGCCCCCCTCCGGAGGCGATGAGGGAGATGGGGAGGGGGGAAGGGCCGACGGCGGCTAGCAACGGGGGTCGCCCGTGTCGCCCCTGCGGGAGCGACGCGGAGACTGTTAGGTCTCGTGCGTGAGTCCCTCGTGGAGATTAGGCCACAATTCCTTGGTTTTGAGCAATAATTTGAGAAATATAGGAGTTGAAGGAGAGAAGGATTGCCTGATCTGTATGTGAATATTTGAAGATGATGGCCACCTCTTTCTCAAATGTAAAAGAGTGGCCCAAATATGGGGAATGCTAGGAGTAGAGAACATAAAAAGGAATCTGGTAACTAAACAATCTGCTGCAGAATTTATAAATGAAGTTCTCAAGCTAGAAGAAGAAGAAAAGATCAAGCCGATAGTACTTCTGCGGCAGTGGTGGAATGAAAGGAAAAATATTAGAGAGGAAGGTAAAGTATGAAATAATAATAATATATATTCTGTTATTAAAGAGACTAATGAATATTGCCAAGCTTTCGTGAAGGAAAATGAGCTCAAGAAAACATGTCAAGAACGGTGGAAACCACCTCACCACGGAGCGCTGAAGGTGAACATTGATGGAGCATTTCATGCTCAAACAAATAGTGGTGGCTAGGGTGCTCTTATCCAGGATCAGAAGGTAGCTGTTCAAGCATGTGGAGCAGGAAGGCTTGAGAATCTAATAAATCATCTTCGCGCTTAAATATTGGCTGCTACTCATGGTGCCCAGCTGGCTTCGTCCAGAGGAATCACTGCTATCTGCTTCAAAACTGACTCTATGTTATTAAAACAGGGTGTAGAGCAAAAGGAACGAGATCGATCAGTTGTCTGCAGGGCACTAGCGGAGTTGAAAATGTTCCTGAACCAAAACTTCGATCAGTTCAGTTTCAGCTTTGCAAGCAGGAACTGTACTAGAGTAGGCCATGTATTAGCAAGTATGGGATGTTCCATGACAATGTAACCCCTGATGTACAAGCTTTAGTGGCGTGCGAGTCAGCTTTGCCCACCGAGTAATGCAATCCAATGCATTTGGTTCAAAAAAGAAAAAAAGACCTAACTATATTCATGTTCTTTACAGAAGGTTTTCCTTACGAGTCACTGCTCGCTCTATCCAAGTCAGCCCAGAGAGGCGCCAAAACAATGGCTGTCTTGCCTTTTTGATTCACACAAGGCACAGCCATCAAGTAGCTGACATATTCAAAATGTTCTAGCTAAACTGAAGTAATACGCTGTCCACAGGCAAAAGGTTCCCGTCTAATGCCGTGCTTCATCTTCTTGGCCTTAGCTGTTAGCATCTGATCGAGACCGCTACACAATGTCTTACAGAGAAATCGTTCCTTCTGTAGGCATTAGAAAATAGTCAGAAAAAAATGAGAATAATTGGCCATGCAATATCATGAAGAGAAGAGGGAAGTCCTTGCAAGGACCTTTGTCTTTAGAGAGCTCGCTGATAAGCTCTTGGATGCCTCCCTTCTCTATGCAACCTTTCGCTGCTGCTGCCTCCTTAGGGGTCACCTTACCATCATGATCCCTGCAAATGATCCACCGAAATAATTTAACTGAGAGCTTTCTGACATACGAAATTATTTCTCACATATCTTCTTGATATTGGGTCATATGAATCAGCCCTTGCATCGACAAGGTAAGTAAATCAGACACAGAGGGCCAAAAAGATGTGATGGCAACAAAGTTACCACATAATGAGGTACCACGCAATAAGAATCAGCTCAGTTGCAAGTGGTTTCCGGTTTGTGCATCAACACCATCAATATCTTTCTCATATTTTTGAAACATAGCATCAACCTAAGACACAGTAACACTATGAGTAAACAACTAATCCAAAAAATATAAAGCCTTGGCATGGTGGGTCTCTAATGCGGAAAAGATGCTCCGAGGCTTAGTTTGAGTATGGGTTTCTCATTGTCAAACAATTTTGTAAGAACCATAGGTTCCATTTATTATCCAAAACTAGCTACAAATCAGAGAATAGTTTTTTCTGGGAATGTTGAGCAGACTGTTTAAGCTGCAACTACACCCTCTAAATGAACAGAAAGAAGGCTGTTTAAAGTCATTTTACATATAAGTCCCTTCTAATCGTCTGGCAAAACAGAGAGTAGGGCAAGGAGCAACAGCCTTTAACAGCAAACTACATCGAACATATACCAGTTTTAGCTGAAGTGTGATAAAGTATAGATTTACATAAGCTAGACTTTGGCAGTGTATTGATTTACAAGTATGAAAGGATTTCTTACCTTCTCAATCAGTGCTAAAGGAACATCTTCTTTTAAAGCAACCTTAACGGCATCATCTGACTCCTCTCTAGCAGCCATATATGCTCTATTAGCTTCCTTTGTAGTATCTTTTTCAATCATGGAGTTATACAGTTCTATCTGCACTCCACAACATTTAAATAGAACTAAACGACTCCACAGCACATATATATGCAGTAAAATGGAATAATTGCTGAATGGATAATGATTCCTATAATTCTACTTCACAAATTCACAAGATACCTCATTAGGGACAAGGCTTAGGAACTCTTGACGCTCCTTGCTAACAGACTGCAATACAAGTAATTTGGGCCAAAGCGGTGAGGAAATCCTCATATAAGAAGGTCAAAAGAGAAGAAAAAAAGGCACAAGTGCTACTAACACAACACCGAGCAAGAAAAAATGAGATGCCAAACGCTAAACCTAACAAGAGACACCATAGACAACTAATCAGGACCGGAGCCGAGCCACCAAGAGAAACACCGGACACGTGGTACCGAACACCCCAAGCCACCACCAGAAAGGCCCGAGTCACTGTTGAGACTGCCCTCTCACACCGGGTCGTGGAGTGTCGCTCCTGCCACAAGATTGCAAGGACCAAGAAAGGAGACCACGGGGATACGTGCAAAAGATAGGAGAACACCAGGGCCACCCGACGCCAGCGTTGAGGACGCTACCTACCAGTGACAAGGCATGCCTGAAGCCGTTGGCCAGTGTTGTCACGCGTTTGCAGAACACACGCGAGACACCTTGCCGATTCGTGGTGTGGGCGCAAGCTGTGGATCAACACTAACTAAAAAATGTAAAGCACGCAAAGATCTACCCAGGTCCGGGCCGCATGTTTGCGTAATACCCTACTCCTGCCTTGTGTTTTGCTGATTTGGTGGACTGAGAACTACAAGCCTTTCCCCGGAAGGGAAAATGTTGTCTTCGAGCTCCTATGTGTGTAAGCTACCAAATGTCCAACCCTTGTTACAGTAGCCCGGTCCTCCTTTTATAGTGCAAGGGGTACCACAGTAGCTACGACAGTCTATACCTCCTTCTGACAAAGTAGAAGCATTAAATGCACGGCGAGGTGTCGCCATATTCTAGCTTCCGGGATGAACACCCGTCACATCACTGCCACTTAAGGCATTCACCTGATATTAACACGGCACGCACTAATACAGGTGTCTACCACATGGTAAGCGGAGTGGTGAATCAGCTCCCATGCCGCTGTAACTCCACTGGCACGCCTGCACAGCCGGCACGTGTCGTGCAAGGTCTGATGCACAGAACTAGCACGCCACACGTTGGGGGCGGTGGCTTGCTGTCCCCGCTTGCCGGACACGAGCAAGATGAAATGGGCGTTCCCGGTGTCGTCTTGCCTTGAGTCGTTGCCGGGTTGCCTGGGCAACTTCCCCTGGCGCACCTTGTTGCTGATGTAGTGAGATATGACAGATCTTGACAAAGATCTGCATACCACCAGTCCTAAACCCAAAATGAGATGTGGACTCCTTCTGGATGTTGTTGTTAGCAAGAGTCTTCACGAAGATCTGCATACCACCGCTTATCCGGGGTGGTGGTCTGGTTGCCGGAGAGCTTCACTTGTTCCTCCTGACAGGGAGGCTATTGTGGCCCGTGCGCAATTGGGTGCGTGAACCCAATGGTCACGGTACCGACAGCCAGCTGCAACCGAATGATACCGGGGCTCCATGACGACGCCCTCAAGAGGGTGATGACGCCAAGCGCCACCGTCATCGAACCCGAGTGGACGGACTAGGGTATTCACCCTGGAGCCCTGGCACCGTGAGGAGACCACCAACGCCCCCAAGAGGGAAGCGACACCTACACGCGTCGCTGGCGCCGGCAGTGGAGCGCGAACCAAGGTTGTCGACCCACCCCGCGAGGAGAAGGCGGCTGCCGCTAGCGCAAGGCCTCCAGATCCAAACCATGGCGCCGCCATCGCCGAAGCCACGATGACACTAGGATCACCCGACAGCCTCCCCTTGTTGCCCACATAGCCAAGAGGAGACACCACCGCTGCAACAGCGCTCGCCATAGAGCCAACCGTGCAGCCTCAGCACCCAGGGCCGCCGGCCCGGGTTCCAGGAACGACACACCACCATTGTCAGGACACCAAGCCGCCGGAAAGCGGCCACCTTCAAACGAACACCGTGAGAGCGAAACTATAGTGTCGGGGCACCACCACGGCCAGAGATGGACACAAATATCAGCCCACGCGCAGAGGACAACCGGCTACATGTGCTAGATCCCCCCACCATGATCGGCAGCAGGGATCACCAGGTCCCGTCGGGCGGGGCAGCACCCGCTCAAGGCAAGTTGCCGGGGCAGCAGGCCTCCATGGACCAGATATGGCAGTCCGTGTCCGGTCAAGGAGCAATTCCCGAGACCCGCGGCCGCCAACCCTAGATCGCCAACCCAGATACCGTCCGGACCGGCTGTCGGAGCCAAGCACGCCCACACCTCAGACCGTCGGCCACCCAGATAGTAATTGGAGAATATAATAGATGACTAGAACGACTTATAACATCAAATGGAGGGAGTGAGAACTACAAATAGTTCAGATAGTAATTGAGTGCATTATTGGAGGTCATGAAATGCTAAATTATGGTTGGTAAATGCTAGCTAACCTGTTTCCAAATTTCTTCTGTTGATCGCAGGCCTAGGTGGCCACGGTGATGGCAGGTTTGACGGAGCTCCTCTTCAGACTGAGTTTCACAACCCTCGTTTTCAATCATCTTAACATCATTCTTAGTGCTGCATATAGGAGTGCCGTTAACGAAACAACAAACAGATATTTTGCACCATTAATAATGATAAATGTCAAATTACATTGCAGTAAACGCAGACATCAGGAAGAAAAGGGTAAAACCATAAGCAATGCAATAGACAACAGAGTTGTCATGATATCAAGTACATCCCGCATATAAACATAGGTGTTTAATACTGAATATTCAAACAGATGTTAAAGATATGTAGATGCTAAGAGTCTCAAATGTGAATCGAACCAATACGGTTCTCCATTCACTAAGCTTACTATATCACCAGAAGTACTGCTTACAAATTAATTGTGGCAAAGTATGGCTCGAAATTACTTCATTTGTTTAATTTTTAGCAGTGTGCCAAACAAACTTTGCCTTTCTTCAACAACATAAAAGCACTTTAAAATATAATTTAGATGATTGTCTGATAAGCTTAATGGAAAAAGTGTTAATGTGAAGCCTCCATCATAAGTTCATCCCCAAATTGACCATTCCAGTTATTGTAGGTAAGAACAATGCAATAACTATATAGCCCTGAAGTTGGGTCTTTTCTGAACAAGAAGCATAAAGTAATGTTGCAAATGCAACATGTGAACTCTTGAAAATAGTCATCTACTTCAGCACTATAACACAGTGAAAGTTGGATATGGTCAATAGCCTTGTAAGATTGCATGTGTATAATTTGAGGAAACTAAATTTACATGGCAGTGACTTCAGAACAAAAACTGAATGTAGTTGTATAAAGATGAATTAAAAGGTCCCGGATTTACCTTTTCTCGCACTTTTGACTCAGCCTAGTTCTTTTGTGTAGGCTCTCCTGCATCAATTAAATGTTGCTATTATTTTGGTTCAAGCATTTTTTTTATATTAAACACGAGTTGAATGATGGGTAAGGATCAATCCAATTACTAGGATATCAGCAGCACAGGGACGCTTTAGTGGATCTTCTGCAGTTAGCTCCATGCAAAATGAAGAGTCGCCCTGCCATGATAAGCATTCCCAGTTCTTTCGAGAAGTATCGTTCTTGAATTGTATGTACTCATTATGCCTCTGGACTAAAGTTGCATAACTAATGAACAGCGAGAAGTACATTATTCCAAGCGGGAAGATATCCACCTGTAACATAAATTTTATGTATATCCATGAAAGAAAGAACCAGGGCTAGATCATATGAATTTTCATATTTTCATACCTTTTCTGAAATATTTTTACCAGCTTCAAGTTCTGGGGCTTCATATCCAAGTGTCCCAAGATTTGGTGTGGCTGTGAACGTAGGACAATCATTTGGGCGAAAGCAAGACTGCCCAAAATCACCTATCTTTGCAACACCATCAAGCCCCAAAAACACATTCCCAGGTTTCATATCTCGATGGATTACTCCTTGTTTATGGATATATTTTAGGCCTTCTGTTATCTCCTTAAAGTATTGAAATGACTTTGGAGCATCAAATTCGTGTGGAGGCGACAGATAATCCTGAAGGCTCCTGTTATTAATTGAAATATCTTCATTCAAATGTCTTAAACGAAAGTGGAAAATCAAATTAAATTAAGACACCAACGCATCGGTAAGCTTAAAATTATTATATCGATAATAACATCCACTACTATACACATGTTTTGTTTAAAACAATAAAAGAATATGTGTGGGGAGGGGGATGATATAACCAAGTATTTGTACCCTGGGCAATATTCCATTTGTATGAGCAAATAAGTGCAGCGTTCCGACTCCGTGGATTCATCCCCACTCACTATAGAGCCATCTTCACTTGCTTCTTTGTACTCCACATCAATATTAGATTCAACCCATGCCTACAATGGATGCTACAATGTCAGATTCAACCCACACCTACCTGTGAAAACAGACATCACAGAAATATCTCCACAGATATATCAGATAAGAGCCAGAAACCGAAAAAGAAACTAGGTGCACAGAATTACCTGTGAAAACTTGACAATGTATTCATTTCTAAGGCTAGATAGAATGGTAACCTCTCTGCAAATGTTAACTATTAGAATAGTAAAATAGATATAACTAGATGCAGAAAGAAAAATATGAAAAAGATCTAAAACCTTGGCTCTGTTTGAATTTGAACATCATTATCTAATCTGATCATCTTTAAAGCGTAATGGTTCTTGTCATAAAAGTAGGAACACAACCAAACGTTGCAGGTTGCCCCTTTTCCTGTTATCACCTGTATTAGTAAAAAGGTGGCACACCTATATATCCCAACGATATATATAAGAAAGAACTGAAGAAATACCTAAACATTTCTCCAATTCAAAATCAATAAAGCTAGGAGATATCTGTGTTTCAATGAAGGTCTCTATTGCACATGAGGAGACCTACAGAAATATAATATGTTAAGAAATATATTTTTTAAATGGGGATGGCAGTAGAATGTCTGCCCAAACCACAGTGTCTCTTTCCAAATAAAAATATGATATTAATTTTTTATGCCTTTTGGTCTGTAGCTACATTATCATTTCGAAGAAATGGTAGTATGGTACTCTCACAATTGTCATCTTCCACAAGTTTTCACCATCTGATAAGTACCAGCAAAAGAAAGTGATGTCTGTTTTACCATTGAGATACTATACTTTACCAGAAAAGTGTAAAGTCAGTGGAACAGTTTTTTTATTGAGTGAGCATTTAGAAACATCACAATCTTTCTATCTAAGCTGGGGTATACTGCCTTCTGAAACCACTTAACTGATGCTGCTCAGAAATTAAGTTGATTACGTCTACTGAAACTTTTGAGATACTCAACGAGGAGGGTTCCCCTTCACCCAATATGTTCGTAGTTGTCTTCGAAACATAATTTAAGATGAGGGAATTACCACTGCAGTGTGTGTAATTTTAGTTTCTTTTTATTTTACATCATTTTGTAGAGAATCGGTAAGGTAACTAAGTTTTCACTACAAAACATAAAGGTAATGTAGCACATATTTACCACTAGACCCTCAAATTGGCATCTCCCAATTGATTGTTGATTGTGAATTGTCTGCAAGAAAATGGTATTATTTAAATTCTGAAGAAAAATATCAAATAAAAAGGGTCATTACAAGAGGTTGATACTCACGGAGGCATCAAAATTCAGAATGTGCCTCGATTCTTTCATTTCTCGTACCAAAGATTCCATCGCTTTAATCGAAAGCCACTGAAGAGAATAGGCTTTTGTGAATATCCAACCAGTCGAATCTACATGAAAGGAGAAGCATTGTCATTAAGATATATGCCACGTGCCAAGTCTCCATCTATTTTTGATTCAAGAATAACAAAGAGGTAGAACCGAAGAAGCAAAGTACATATTAGAAAGTGAGGTATTTTTTTGTTCTTTAATAGAAGTCAAATTTCTAGAGCCTAGAGTTTTTGACCGATAGACAACATTCTCGGATTCTGGAATGAATTGTACGGCCATATATATTAAGACATTGAGAATGTTACCATAGAAAACCAGATTGGCCCTGGTTGACCAAATTCTAAGCGTGACTGAGAAGTTTTCATTCATCCGCTCCTCTTCTGATTCAGTTTCAGTTTCCGTTCCCTCCAGTTCCCATGTTCCCTCCTTCTGAGGTTCCTCCAGCCATTTCCCCTCCATGTCCTTTGACTTGTCCTCAAGTTCCTCTGTTATTTCCGGTTCCCAGGTGTTCTCCTCCACAGCTCCCTCCAGCAATGTATCATATGAGTCCTGTGACTCGTCCTCTGATTCCTCTGTTTCTTCCGGTTCCCAAGTCTTCTCCTCCACAGCTTCCTCCAGCCATGTATCATCTGAGTACTGTGACTCGTCCTCTGGTTCCTCTGTTTCTTCTGGATCCCATGTCTTCTCCTTTACAGATCCCTCCATCTGTGTATCATCCTCTTCCAATGACTCCTCGTCAAAAGCACCGTCCAAGAAGCTAAGCGATGCCATACGTTGAAGAATACCATCATGGGAAAAAGCTACGAGAAACTGGGGACTGGTGCCATCGATGGAACCCTCTTGCTCCCGAGGGCACAGCTCAACCTCCTCTCTAGCTGCAGTGGTATTCTTCAACTCGGCTAGCAACTCGATTTTGCTATCGAGGAAGACATACATACTCGCAGATTCTGGAACGGCGGTGTGGGAGGTGCCGACGCCAAAAGAGGGCTCCAGAAGCTGCGACGCCATTGGCCTGGGCGCGCGGCCTGATGATGGGCGCGGCGGGGCCTCTGCGGAGGTCGAGGGGGGCGACGCGATTGGCCAGGTGCGCGCGCCGCCTGATGATGGGCGCGGCGGGGTCTCTTCGGAAGTCGAGGGGGGCGACGCGATTAGCCAGGTGCGCGCGCGGCCCGAAGTGGAAGAGGATGACGCCAATGGCCAGGTGCGCGCGCGGCCCGATGAGGTCGGCGGAGCCTCAGTAGAAGTCGAAGGGGCCGACGCCATTGGCGAGGTACGCCCGCGGCCCGATGAGCGCGGCGGGGCCGCTGGAGAAGTCGACGTGGGCGATACCATTGCCCGGGTTCGCGGCAAGGCCACTGTAGAAGTCGAGGCAGAAGACGCGGGTCGGGCGGCGCTGGCGGACGCACGGCGGAGGAGCGCAGCCGCAGCGGTGGTCAAACCCTAACCGCCGCCGGCTATGGGTCGCGATCTAGAAGAAAAATTGATGGGGAACGGAGGCTGGTTACCAGGTTATCGGGACGAGAAGATTGATGGGGAAAGGAGGCAATACTCCAGACTCGAGGTTATCGGCAACGGCTCTTAAATTTCAGGTCGTCTCTCTCTTCAAATGCACTATGCTTCTAAGAGCATCTACAGCCGGACTTCTTAAACCCGTCTCATACGTCCGAACGGGCCGCTCGCTTACTGAGCAGTCACGTTTTTTCGATCCAGACGGAGGCCTCAAACTGGTATCAAATGTCCGGGCTAACCGGCACCCCTCATATCCAGCCCAAATATGGGGCGGATACGGGCGCGCCCGTCACGTCAGACTGACGAAGGGGGCTCAGCCGAAAACGCTCTCAAACCCGACATTCTAAAACTTGTCTCCTCCGTTGGACCGGTGGCGCCGCGTGGCGCAGCTCCGGCGGGCCACGTAGTGCTTTGCCCGGCTATTTAAGTCGACCGGTGGCACCGAAACCCTACCATCCATCCATATTTTCCTCCTCATGTCCGCCGCCGCCACTTTTCACTCCACCTGTACACCTAGTAGCCATGCCCCCACACCGCCGAGTGAGGAGCGAGCCATTTCTGACGCCGGAGCGCCGGCTCGAGCTCCTTGAGCAGATCCGGACTAGGCGCGAAGCCCGGGTCGCCACAGGGCTATCTCCGAATGAAGTGGATCCAGAGGAGGAGTTGGAGGAGGAGGAGGAGGAGGAGGAGGATGTGGGGGACGCTGGTGACGGGGATCTGCACGCGGAGCAGCAAGCCATCCTCGATTCCCTCCGGTCGGAGTCGGCTGCGGAGGCAAGACGCCGTCATCGGCAGGAGATGGAGGCGCAAGAGCCCGCGGAGGAGGCGAAGATGCTCGCCTACATGGATGAGGTCGAGGAGGAGGGGGGATGAGCTGAAGCCCTCCTACCCACCTGTTCAGCCGGTGTTCGGCAACGTCGTCATGGACATTTCCGACGACGAAGAGTAGTTAGGGTAGTACGTAGATGTAGTACGTAGGATTTATTTTGTATGCTTTGTATAAATTTAGGGGATGAAATATGAGAGAGACGATGCAAAGTGTCTAATTTGAGGCATGCCCGGTTAGTGCCCGCGGACACGCCCGGGCGTGTCCACGTGCGTTTGAGTGGCCGAAGTTGTCAAGTCCACCTGTAGATGCTCTAATATATAGTACTACCTCCGTCTAGGTGAATAAGTCATTCGCGTAGTACTAGGTCGTTGATTTGAGGAATTAAATATGTATTATACATCATGAAAAGTATATCACTAGATTTATATATGGATGTAGTTTCCAAATATATAATTTTTGTCACATATAATACATATTTAGATAGTTAAATCGTCAACCTAAAACTACGCGAATGACTTATTCACCGAGACGGAGGTAATAGAACGTGTGTGGGTTGCAATGGATATGCATATAAATGAATCAATGAAATAATTAAGTTTATCTTTAATGTTGAAATTTATTTGTCCCTCATACATTAAAGCATGTTGGGACATCGAACGGGTGCCCAGCATGCTCCCTAAAATGCCCTAAAATGCAACCGTCTCGACAGTCCGGACACCCTCAAATCCAGATCATATGTGGGGGTAAATGCGGTTTTCAGATTTATGCGTCATGTTATCTCCAACACACGGGCCCAACACAAAAAACCCACCCTTTTCCTTCTCCTGACGGACCCTCCCCTTTTCACCTGGTTTCCCGCCCTCTCCTTTAAAACCGGATGACGCCCATCTCGAATGTATGAGGGACAAATAAGCTTCAACCTTAAAGACGCCTTCTCTCCTAAGCCATTTCCACCAAGAATCGGATTTACCCACTAATGGCGCCCTCTATCCTTCAGACTGCATTTCCCCATAAACTGCCAAGCAGGAGTCATGTGCCAACCTCCCTGCTCTCCGCCTTGATCCCCTTCCCACATGTCTGTGTCGATCCGCCACTGCCATCAAGGGGAAGGAGGCATGCAC